GGCAACAACTAAAAACATCAGCGTGTTATCAACATTCTTCTGGTACTAAATCCAAAACACAGCACTCTGCTAGCTACTATGAAGAAAATTAACTCTATCCCAGCCGAAACCAGGACACAGTGGATGGAGATCAAGTCAGGATTTACATGGGTAAGGTCAACACTTCTTAGTACATTCCGATGGATCTTGTACTTCCAATAAACACCATGATACCCAATCCACACATCAGTCTCTGAAGAAGTTCACATGAAGGGTGGTCTTGTGAAAGTCAGCCTTTATTACCCTGGGTGACCTGCTGGTTTCCCTCTCCAGAGAGGGACAGAGGCTGGATCCCCTTCTCAGGACAGACTCCTTGCCAGGAAGCCACAGCCATGGGGGTAGCTCCCCTGGTTCTTGCTGGCACTTCACTCAGCATCCATTTTTGTGTAGTTGGTGCATTTCTGTGACTGCTCTTTCTTCACAGAAGATCATAAAAAGCCAACTGTGTCATAAGCGATGGTCATGAAGGCCCTGTTATGGCCATGAAAGCTCACCATGGGCTCTGGAGGGAGAAGGGAGTATATTTCTAATCCCAGGAAGCTCCAGGAAGTTCAAGGCCTCTTCTATAGAGTGAGTGGCTTTGAGCATCAGTGATTTGGCATGTGTAGGTGTGGGAGAGAGGATCAGGGGATTTCAGTGAGAAAGAAGGGGGTGGCTGATGGCCATGACTAATCCCAGAGTTGAAAAGCAGTTGACATCTGGATGTGAAGGAGCATTAGGAAAAGGTTTGTCCTACAACTACAGCAGGAAGGAAGGACCCTCCTGTGCAAGTCAGGGATGATATGGACGTTTCCATCTTGTGTGCACACCTCAGCCTGGCAGATGGGGAATGCCCACTGCTGGGGGTGGCTGTGCTCTGTCATCCACATGAGCTCACCTTGCACAACAGCACTCTTGGATGCAACCTCTGCAGTCCTGTGGACTGATAAGGGTCTAGTTTGCCAAAGTAACCCCCAGCTTGATCCCTATCCACTGCTTCTTCTTCTCCAGAGTCCTCAGTGTCCTGCCTCAAATCACAAAGGCCTGGGAGAACTCACTGGTGGTAAGTGAGGCAAAGAGGCCATAGATTGATCTACACCTAATCTTAATGCAGCATTGGCCCCACATTGTCTCTTTCTTCTTGAACAGTTCCTGATGAAGCAACAGCTCATTTTGGTTCCCCTTGCATTCCCTCTTCAGTTTCGATTCAGTTATTCTGAAGATCACCACTGCTCTTGCAGGATGCTGTCATTGAAGACAAGATGTTTCCAGGCACATGGTGAAAATGATTGGTCTGTTCCTTGGCTGTATCACCGTGGATGTGAGTACAGACCCCACTGTGATGTGCATTGTGTTCACGCAATGCTTGCAGGGGTTAGGTGGAGGAGGGACAGACCTTGCCCCTCTGATGGCTCCTGATGACTGATGCCTTTGACTGATGGCAACAGTCAATGGCACACAGGCAGCCAATCACACTCCCTGCAATGCCATCTGGGGTGTCTGTCACACACCTGCCCTGAATGGGCATTGCTTTCCTGGAGGTCCTCTGCTGTTCATGCAAGCCCAGCCATCTTATGTAGCTCCCTGGGTCTGGATGTGAACAGGAAATGGAGCAGATGCCCTGAATTCTGTAAGTCAGTGTGGGGATGAACATGAGGCAACTGGCAATGTGGTCAGTGGAGATCTAGTTGATCAGTGGAAGAAGAGAGAGTCTGAGCTCTCCCTATGTCACCTGACTGTAACTGTTCAGGTGAATAACTCTATGAGCTGCCCTGACCATCATGAGTTCAGCTGCCCTTCATTTGGACATCAGCTGTCATTGCATTTGGTCAAAGGGAACTCTCAATAGCCTCCAAGAACAAGCCCCCAGGTGCTGCCCTATCTCTATGAGCTGCTCCATTTCATTTTACAGCTCCCTGCATGCATCTTTGGCCAACTCTGGCACCTCAAACGTCACCAGACATTTGCATCTCACTCCTAGCATCCCTCTCCATTGATGAGCAAAAGAACACACATGAAGGTGCCTATATTTTTAGAGCTGAAATGAGGCAAGAGGAATCCCAGCTCCTGTGGATTTGTGGCAGGCATGGGAGGGAGTTGAGTCCCCTTCCAGCCCCAGTAATATAGACCCGGGATGAGGTGCCTCACTTGACTCAGAACAGGTAAACAATATTCCTGCCATGCCAGTGTCTAGATCTGATGATGGAGTAAGGACAGGTGATTCTCATGCCCAAATCTTTTCCTCACAGCAGAAAGTACAGTGCTGGGAAGAAATGTCTGTTCCCCAGTGGAGGGAGGGAACATCCAGTTGGCTTCACAGCAGGTTCCCCTGAAGCCCCAGGGACATATTGAGGGAGGGGGCCTTGGGCTGGTCCTCTGCTGCTGAGCTGGGCTGGGCTCCTGGGATGGAGGGAGCTGATGGCAAGTGGGCAGCGCTGCACAGAGACAGCTCTGCCCAGGAGCAGCTCCTCTGCAAAGCACAGCAGGGCTGAGGGCACTGCCTGCAGGCACCAAGGGGAGAGGAGCGAGGCAGAGCAAGGTTAAAAACAGTCTGGAGTGGGAGGATGCTGAGAGGTCATGGAGAGAAATCTTGACAGAGAGTAAGTCTGTGACTGCAGGGCATTGCATCTGCAGATCCTTGTGGGATCTCCTACAGCTGTCGCATTGCACAGCCTATGTGATAGGTAAGTAGAACCCTCAGAGTTTCTCTGGTGCAGAGGATCAGAATGTGCTGCAGAGCAGGGCTTCCCTGCTGCCCCATCAGAGGGACAGGGCATGATGGCTGCCTTCTCCCAGGGAGGGCAGCAGGGTGTGAAGGTGGGTGTGCAGGCAGGGGTGCCCAGGGCTGTCCTTCCTAGCAGGGTCCCTGCACCCCAAGGGGCTGTGTGCTGGGGCAGGGACTCTGCTGCCTGCCAGGGTCAGCACTCAGCCTGCCCGGGGAGCTCCCCACGGTTGTGGGGGGAGAAGGTGTGGGTGGAAGGAGTAACCCGATCAAGGCAGGGTCCTTCTGCTGTTGAGAGGGTGCTGTGTGGGTCAGGGCTGCTCACAGCTTTTCATCATGCCCAGGAGATTTCCAAAGGGATGTTTCCAGGAGAAGATCAGGGAAATGATTACTATAAAGGGATTTCTTGAGTCTGTCTTTCAAATTATTAATTCCAGAGGGCTGAGGGTGTGACATAAAAGTGTAAGTGTAAAAGGAGCTCTCAAGTTTATAAGAAGTGAGTGTAACTCCTGTATTGCAACTTTGAGTGGTCAATAGGACTTCCAGGAGCCTGGTAAAGTGCCTTCAGCCACTCCTCTGACTATGGCCAGCATCAAATCTGCTGGACCTGTTGGGGATTTTCTGAGCTTCCCTTCTCCACCTGAAAACAGGAACATGTGCCCAGGCAGTGCCCTGCAAACAGGCAGATTTCTTTAGGGCCAGGATGAGTGCACAGAGGTTGGGATGGGGTCTTTGAGCACTGACAGGGAAAAGACATGGGGCAGGGAAACACCTCCCAGGGTGAGCACCTCCATGCAATGGTCAGGGAATGAAAGGATACTCAACCCAGAAATTTAGGAGAAAGAATTCTTTATGTTCCCCTCCAATGCCAAGCCCTTCCTCTGAGCAAGCCCCCTGGCCTCCTCTCCCAGACAGAAAAGCCTCTGCCCTCAGGGCTGGGGGCTCCAAGACGTGAACCAGCTCCTCTGCAGCCAGAGCTCCAGCAGAGCCGTGGGGCAGCTCTCCAGCCCCGTGGCCATTTCCCTCTGCAGAGCCCAGGGACTGAGAGCACATGCCCGTGGTGCCTGGGAGGTGGCGTGCAGAGCTGGGGCAGGGTAACGCTGCCTGAGGGCCCGCCTGCCTCTGTCCTGGCCTCTTTCCACCAGACCCTCACTCTATTTTTCCTTGTTCCCCCACTGGTCTGTGTTATTGTTGTTACCTTGTTCTTGCTGCCAGGCTGTCTGGGGAGGTAGAGTTTGATCTGCAGTCACACACTGATCTCGTGGGTCTCCCCATGAAGGTATGTCCATAGGAACAAGTGTCCCAGCTTTCCTCTAACTTGTGGGGCTGAGGCCAATGCAGCCTCTTGGGTTGGATAATATGCTGGGTTTCCCATTACCACATGCTATCGTTAGGACAGCTGGCTATTTGCCTGACGTGTACTCCTAAGCTGTGAGCTGCCCTCTAGAATGTTACCCTGTCCCTTAGCACCCATCTAAGTGTGAAAGGCCCCTGGAGAATCACAGAGATGCTACAATGGAGGAAATGCCATTGGGTTGGTGAAATGAGCTATGTGTGTCCTGGGCCAGAAGTGGGGTGCTGAGACCTCGAGGAGGGGTGAGAAATTTCGCAGTCTTCACTGGATCCTTCTATTCTCAGCTGTTTCTGATTGCCTTTCAGGGTAACATGGGAGTTTGATCACCCTTCATCACTGAAATGTGCAAGGAAACGGAACTTGGGAACAAGTCAGAGGCACTGACCAGCTCCCCTCACCCTGCAGTGAGCCACAGACAATCCTTTTGCCTTACAGGACACATTCTGTTCTCCCTGAGTGCAGGAGGAAGTCTGAGGCTTTCTGACATCCAAGAATGCTCCACAGGGGAGATGGAGGGAAGCTGTAAAAAAGCCCAAATCTTTAAAACTGCCTTCTGCCACCCCGTTCCTAGGCAGTAAGAGTGTGGATGCTGATGAGCCCTTTTGTGTTAGGAGTGGCTTCATTGGAGAAGATTGAACATCAACATTGGCCCCTGTTGCAGTATTTCCATGTACCCACTAGCACAGAGCAGAACCGTCTGCTTGGCAGCCAGCAGGTTGAGACCCTGCTCCTCCTGGAACACTCTGCCAGCACAAGCCAGAGCTGCATTCATGGAGCTACAGGAAGGTCTCCTAGAAAAGAAAAAGGAAGATGTGAGAAATTGCTTTGATTTTCCTCAGAGAAATCTCATCTAAATTGTCACTGCCATATCTATTTTGCATGGTGTTCCATGTCCAAAGGGACCAAATGTCGAACACCAGCACCATTACCGAGTTCCTACTGCTGTTCGTAGATAGATGGGAGTGGCAGCTCTTGCACTTCTGGCTCTTCCTGGGCATCTACCTGGCTGCCCTCCTGGGCAACGGCCTCATCATCACTGCCATAGCTTGCAACCACTGCCTCCACACCCCCATGTACTTCTTCCTCCTCAACCTCTCCATCATTGACCTGGCCTCCATTTCCACCACTGTCCCCAAATCCATGACCAATTCCTTCTGGCACTCCAAGGCCATCTCCTATGCAGGATGTGCTGCTCAGCTCTTTCTGTTTACCTTCTTTGCAGTAGCAGAGCATTTTCTTCTCACTGTCATGGCCTATGATCGCTACGTGGCCATCTGCAAACCCCTGCACTACGGGACCCTCCTGGGCAGCAGAGCTTGTGTCCACATGGCAGCAGCTGCCTGGGGCAGTGGCTTTCTCGATTCTCTCCTCCACACTGCCAATACATTTTCACTAACTCTCTGCAAGGGCAATGCTGTGGAGCAGTTCTTCTGTGAAATCCCCCAGATCCTCAAGCTCTCTTGCTCAGATGCCTACCTCAGGGAGGTGTGGCTTATTGGTTTTAGTACCTTTGTTGTCTTTGGCTGTTTTGTTTTCATTGTACTGTCCTATGTGCAGATTTTCAGGGCAGTGCTGAGGATCCCCTCTCAGCAGGGACGGCACAAAGCCTTTTCCACCTGCCTCCCTCATCTGGCCGTGGTCTCCCTGTTTCTCAGCACTGCAGTGTTTGCCTACCTGAAGCCCCCCTCCATCTCTTCCCCAGTTCTGGATCTGGTGGTGGCTGTTCTGTACTCAGTTGTGCCTCCAGTAGTAAACCCCCTCATCTACAGTGTGAGGAACCAGGAGCTCAAGGATGCCCTGAGGAAACTGATTCAATGGGTTCACCTTCAGCACCAGTAAACTGTCCATCTCTCCTCACTGGTTAATTCCAGTTTTTCCTATGATGATCATGTTCACACAGGTATATTTGTATTCATTCTACATCTCCAAAAGCGTGGCCTGGCTGTGCCTAGCTTTTTTTAATGTGTCGTCACAGCGTCAGAGCTGGCTTCCTGAAGAGCATCTCTATAATAAATGCTGTCTCCCCATGGCAGCTCCTGAAGGCTGGGCTCTTCTTTTTGGTGAAGTCAGGTCCAGGCTCCAGGACCTGCACTCACCGTGGCCTGTTGCTGAGTTTGCTTCTCGGTGGAGTAACAGAGAGACTGGGAGATATTTCGCAGAGTGAGGGCTGGACTCAGCTCTCAGTTGTAGGTGCCTAGTGGCACTGGAGATGGTGAACAGGCTCCAAATTCCATGCCTTGGGCTCTCCTGCATGTAACAGGGCTGAATGGTAGCTGCCTGGCTTTCTGGAGGGGAAACTGGAGACCCCAGGGTAGCAGAGGGCATCTACATCTACATCTACATCTACAAATGATGTGCCTGGGTGTGGCTGTCCCAAAAGAAGGGTCCATCCAAGGTGGAGTCACCCAAAGGCAAAGCACTATATTTAAGTATCCACAATTAAACAAGGGCTCTGCAATGCCATCGGAGGCTGTGGGGACTCAGCAAGATCATAAAAAGGAGAGTGGAGAGTGATTGATGTCTCCTGCAATAAAATCCCAAGGATGGTTCATTGTGTACACTGGAAAACATTCTGAGCCATGAGAGATGCTCTGCACTCCTTCCACATCTTTTGACCCCTGGGAATGAGCTCAGTGGCCGTGCTCAGCCCAGCTGGGCCTGACCAGCACAGCCAGCATGGGGTCACTCCATGGCCTTACAGCCCACTTGCTCTGCAGAGCACCCCTGCCAGCTCAGGGCCCTGTGAAGAGCACAGGGAGGGGGCTGGGAGCACCAGGCAGGATCACGGTGCAGAGCCAGAAGTCTTTGTTCTCCTGGTGCTCCACCAGGCCTGGGAAGTGCCTGGAGAAGGACTGGTGTCTACCACTTACCATGTGTTTAGTGCCATCATCCCTCCTGCAGGGTGGAATGGAGGGGGAGGCTGGGGCCTGTATCAGGGCTTGCACTGAAAGAAGGGTTGACCCAGAAACCACATCATTTTACTGCTGTCCTTCAGTCCCTGTGCCCAGTACATGTCCTTGAGACAACCTTCCCCACCCCATGTGTTAAACCTTACCCCAAAAGCCACCCCAAGACAAGACTTCTCAGCCAGAGTCCAGCTGTGACCACAGGGAGGACAAGGCCTCTTCTGGGTTCTCTTCAGGACTGGCAGTCTCTATGATCCTCAATGGAAAAGGCAGCACACAGAGGAGGACTTGGGAAACTGCAGACCACCCCCATGCCCATGGAGGCCCTCAAGTCCAAGTATCCAGCCCAGCTTGTTGCTGCATGATCAGACAGGAGAAACTTCCTCAGGAACCTCATTCCAGACCCCATCCCCTCGTACCAGCCCCAGCCAGGCACGACTCTCCCCCTTGTCACTGTGATGGTTCTAGAGATCCAAGAGACACCTAGTGGGGGAAATGTTGGGTGGGTAGAGCCACCTCAATGCTCTTGGCACCCCCTCTGCAGGCAGAGCAGCTCTCCATGGCCAGGACAGGACTTGCTGCTGCTCGTGGTGTCAGGGCTCTCCTGTGGGCTGCAGCCACTGGCACTGCCTGCTGGGAACCCCACAATGAAGGCCAAGCTTTTGTGCCCTTCTCCACAGCTCACGGTGGCTCCTCTCCTGTGCTGCTGTCCTCTCTCAGGAGCACCGCCAGGCACGTTACGCCCAACTGGGTTGTGCAGAGGAGCTGCTGGATGTCTTCTGTGCTCCCCCTCACAGCCCCTGGCTCTTTCCCCATGTCAGCCCATGGGCACCACCTCAGCCCCTTTGTGCTGGGTGTTGGGTGTCTCCATGGGCCCTCCTCTGAGCCCACGCAGGGACCCCCAGTACCTATCTCTGCTTGGAGCTGGTCACCCTGTCCTGGCTGCACAGTCCCAGGGAAGCCTGGTGAGGCCAGACTTGGAGAGTAGGTTGTGATTGTTGGGGTGGGTTGATCCCAGCCAGCAGCCAAACACCCACACGTTTTTTTCACTCAACTGCCCTCTACTTGAGGATGGGGAGAAAACAGAAGAAAGGAGAAAAGCCTCATGGATCAATGGAATGACACCTTAATCAGAAAAGAAAAAGCTATGCGTGCAAGCAAAGCAAAAAGAAGAATACACACACAACTTCCCAGGACCAGACAGATGTTCAGCCACTTGCTAAAGTGCAGAGCCTCAGCTCACATAACACTGGCTTGGGAAGACAAACACCGTAACAGCAAACAACACCGCTTCGTCCTGCTTTTGCTGAGTTTTTATTGCTGAGAATGACATCCTTTGGTATGGAGCAGCCCTTTGGTCAGTTCAGGTCCCTTGTCCTGGCTGTCTTCCCTCCCATTTCCTTGTCCCCTGCCAAGCCGACTGACTTCTGTGGGAGTTGCTTGTGGGAGAAAACCTTGATACTCTGCAAGCAGTGTTCATCAATGGCCAGAATCCTGGTGTGGGATCAGCACTGGTTTAGCCACCAATGCAAAGCACAGCGATTAGCGGGGCTGCTAGAGAGAAAGTGAACTCCATCCCAGTCAGGCCTGGTACAAGGATGCTTGGTCAGAGTAGGTGAGAGGATCTGGCCTGGGGGAGGGATGGGAGGAAAGGACAAAACACAATCAGGACAAGAAGCAGAAAGGGCAGAAAGGGAAATTTCTCATGAGTTTAAGGGGAGATCCAACCTACCATGATACTGGATAAGTGCTGGGTCAGGAGAAATCCCTGACCAACCTGACCTACCTGTCAAGTTGTCCCTGCCTAGACCAGACCATGGTGCTGGAGGCCTCCAGAGATGCCACACAACCAACACCCGGTAGGGGCAAGGGGCTGGGCACTTGGGGCGAAAGAAGTGGAGGCTGCTGTGTGTTGAGGCTGTGCTGGACTTTGTAATCTGCGGTTGTCCCTGTCCTCAGGATGACACAGTGAAGGAGCTCATCCTCAAAAGGAGGCTCTGCTTCATGGGCACCAGAAGTCCAACCAGCACAGGGATACCACAGAAAATTGCTCAGAATCACTGCAGGGCATTCTAAAAGCACAGAAAAATGAGGCTTGGAAGAGGCCTCTTGGAGACTGTCTAATCCAACTCCTTCCTACTCAAGCACAGTAAGCTGGCGGAGGTTGTCCAGGACTGGCTCTAGACGGCCTTTGAATACCTCCATGGAGGGAGATTCTACAGTCTCTTTGGGCAAACACATCCAGTGATCAGGCACCCACTGTAAAGAAGTGTTTTTTTACGTTCAGATGAGAAGCAGAGGAGGAAACCTGAGAGCAATGGGAAGTGCATACATCCAGATAGTCTGCTGAAAAGATGTTCTTAGGCATGGCCATCTAATCAGGAGAGCTGGAAACACCAGAATGACAAGGGAGATGAAATAATCGACAGAGTAGTGGTAATACAAGTACAGGGGAGATCAATATTTCTTCCCTTTCATTAGTTCACTTCCAGGAAATTCCTATTCTGACAGGGTGGGAAAACATTGCCATTTCTTAAAAGGACTCCAATGATCAGACATGAGTTGCCTGACCATGAACAGGCAGTGCCACTTTTAGAGGTCCCAGTGTCCCTGAGGTGTTGGCCTGGGATTGGCATCTATCACAGAGGACCTGTGGGAGACCAGAGCACCATGCAAGCTGCCAGTGGAAGCTGGGCAGGGGTTCCCAGGGCATCTGTACTAGCACGACATGTCTGTGTGCCTGCAGCTGAAGACATTTGTGTCCTACAGCCCTTCCCAGTGCTGGAAAACACTTTTCCTTTTCAAAAAGAGAAGTCAGAAATCCCACTAAAGACTGAAAAAAAGCTGAAAAGTGCATTGACACCTTTCTTTGTTTTGGATCTTTGTCTTCAGTTCTTCTTACTTTCATTTTCACTGACATTAACGGACACCTGGAAGGCCTGTGGGCATGAAAACAAGACGAATTTGTGTCTTGAAAAGAGCCCCATGCCCCAAAAACCTTCCCTGCCCCGGACTCCTCAGTCTTTGCACAGAGTGAGTCGCACTGAGGCGTCGACGTCTTCACTGCTTTAGATGTTGGTTTCAATGGTCACTGACAGCACAGGAGGATTCATGTCCCATGACCGTCTGCTCTGCTCCACATAGAAACAGGGCCCAGCTTCATGGGACCCTAAGAGAACAGAGGTTGAAGGGACCTCAGGAAGTCCGCAGGCTCTGTATTCTCCATGTCCTCCTCTCAGGTACTGTCAGGCTGCGATGTGGTCCCCCTCAGCCTTCCCTTCTCGAGGCTGGACAAGCCCAGCTCCCTCAGCCTTTGCCCTCCAGCAAAGTGCTTCAGCCCCTGGCTGTCCTGAGGGCCCTTCACTAAACCCACTGCAGCTTGCCAGTATGGCTCCTGAATTGGGGATCTGAAATCTGGATGGAAGATTGCAGAGAATCCCTTCCCTTGATCATAGAATCATTTTGTTGGACCTTTAAGGTCATTGAGCCCAACCATACCTGTCCACTACTAAACCATGTCCCTAAGCACCTTGTCTACCCGTCTTTTAAATACCTCCAGGCATGAGGACTCGCCCACCTCCCTGGGCAGCCTTTTCCAGTCTCTGATAACCCTTTCAGTTAAGAATTCTTTCCTAATATCCAATGTAAACCTCCCGTGGTGCAACTTGAGGCCATTTCCTCTCGTCCTAGTGCTTACAGCTTGGCAGAAGAGACTGACACCAACCTAACTACACCCTTCTTTCAGGTAGTTATAGAGGGCAATGTCACCAACATTTTTTTGTCCAGGCTAAACAATCCCAGTTCTCTCAGCTGCTCCTCATAAGACTTGACCTTCAGGCCCCTCAACAGCTCTGTTGCCTTTCCCTCAATCTTCTGGTTGTGTTTCTGGTCATCCATCCCAGGGTGCAGGTGGCCTCCCTTGTTGCCAGGGCACACACTTGCCTCCTGTCTAGCTCACTGACCACCCAGAACTTTCCCACAGTGCTGCTCCCACACAGGCAGCCCCCAGCCTGTGCCATTGCCAGAGTGAGTCCCCTGCTGGTGCAGAAACCAGCATTTGTCCTTGTGGGATTTCATGAGGTTCTTGCTATTACATGCTCTCCTCCTCCTTGAACCCCTTCATTGAGCAAAGAGGTCTGTGAGACATTTGCAGTAAAGACTCAGGTAAAAGGTCATTGAGTTCCTCAGGCCCATTGGTGTCTACAGTTTAGGAAAGCACTGTCCTTGTTCAGCAGCAGCCCTGCATTTCTGTTGGGCTCTAACAAAGCAATTGAAGCTCTTCTCTCTGCCCTTGACTTTTCTTGCAGCCACCAACTCCAGGTGGTCACCCCCTGGCAGCTGCTTCATGACCTCACAGTGCCCTGTCCTGTACCAGCCCAGCCCCACTGTCCCACACACGGTCCCATGCACCCATTGTGAAGGCACAGCATGGCAAAGGGTGTATTTGGTGTGAGGAACAGTTTGTCTTCATGATCTCCATGACACCCCCTTGTGTCCTATCCCCCCTGGTTCCTCCTACTTGAGACAGCTTCCACCAGGTCCTGGAACCTACCCAGCCCTATCAGCATCCCATGTGGGGTTTCACAGACATCCCTGCTTAGAGGTCTGCCAGGGTCTAGACAAGGAGAGAGGTCGAGCAAGACTGGCCATTCCCTCAGTGCAGGCACTGAGCCCAGCAGCACGAGGGAAATGGCTGTGCAGCAAAACTCACCCATAAAAACGTGGAGAGTGGCCAGTGCTGGAAGTAGCCGAACAGCAAGGCCACCAGTGAAAGCTCACTCCAGTCCCATTACATTAAACATCACCCCATGCCCTCCTCCCCACAGCCCATGGAGAACGCCAGCTAAGCAGCATGGAGGTGTGGGGGAGAAATTCTTCAGCCTGTTCCTGATCTCATCTTTGGAAAAGAGACAATCTTTCAAGTAAGTGGTCTACTCAAACCCCCTTTTATTACAGAGATGTGACGGGGAGGCCAGCTGTGCCATTGGGCCAGACACATGTGCAAAGACCTCTGGCCCAGACAGACTGGGTTCATGCCTCTGGAGAAATGGAGTGCATGCAGACATTCCTGGAGAAATAGAGCTATCACAGATAAAATGCCCAGCGCACAGGAGGTTCCCCAGATACAATGGAAATCACTTGTGAAGAGACATGGGCAGCTTATTGCTGCAGAAACACAACTGATTGAATCAGCTTCTTTAGTGCGTCGTTGAGCTCCTGGTTCCTCATGCTGTAGATGAGAGGGTTCACTGCTGGAGGCACCACTGAGTAGAGAACTGCCACTACCAGATCCAGAGATGTGGAAGAGATGGAGGGGGGCTTAAGGTAGGAAATAATGGCAGTGATGATAAACAAGGAGACCATGGCCAGGTGAGGGAGGCACGTGGAAAAGGCTTTGTGCCGTCCCTGCTGAGAGGGGATCCTCAGCACGGCCTTGAAGATCTGCACATAGGACATCAGGATGAAAACAAAACACCCAATAGAGAAACAAAAACTAAGCACAAGAAGCCCAACTTCCCTGAGGTTGGAATCTGAGCAGGAGAGCTTGAGGATCTGGGGGATTTCACAGAAGAATTGGTCCACAGCATTGCCCTTACACAGAGGTATGGAAAGCATACTGGCTGTGTGCAGCACAGCATTGAGGAACCCACTGCCCCAGGCAGCTGCTACGATGTGGACACAAGCTCTGCTGCCCAGGAGAGTCCCATAGTGCAGGGGTTTGCAGATGGCCACGTAGCGATCATAGGCCATGACAGTGAGAATATAATATTCTGCCGATAACAAAAAGATAAACAGAAAGACCTGGGCAACACATCCTGAGTAGGAAATGTCCCTGGTTTCCCACAGGGAATTCACCATGGATTTGGGAACAGTGGTAGAGATGGATCCCAGGTCGAGGAGGGAGAGGTTAAGGAAGAAGAAGTACATGGGGGTGTGAAGGCGGTGGTCGCAGGCTATGGTGGTGATGACAAGGCCGTTTCCCAGGAGGGCAGCCAGGTAGATGACCAGGAAGAGCCAGAAGTGCAAGAGCTGCAGCTCTCTTGTGTCTGAGAATGCCAGGAGGAGGAACTGCGTGATGGATGTACCATTGGACATTTTCTTCCTCTCACAATGGGGCACTTCCATAGGAGAAAAAGACAGTGACAAGTTAGGGGAGACCTCTGAGGAAAATCAAAGCCTTTCTCCTAGAAATTGACTGTGTTATACTCTGCCCTGCCTTCCCTTTTCCAGGACACCTTCCTTCAGCTCTGTGACTCTATCTCTAGCTTGTACTCGCTGAGTGTGCCATGAGGAGCAGGGCCTCTGCCCGCTGGCTGCTGAGGAGTCAGCCCTGCTCTGCAGCAGTGAGCTCATGGGAATGGTGGGGGAAAGGGGCAGCCCTGGTTGTTGATTTTGTCAGATAAATCTGCTCCCAATGCAGAAGGGCCTGTCAGTATCTGCACTCCCAGTGCTAAGGAACAGGGATAACAGAAGGAAGTTGGAGATGTTTGGTGATTTTAATTTTCCCCTATCTCAACTGGGGAGTTTTCCTGGATGTCAGAAATCATCAGCATTTCTGCTTCACTCAGGGAGAAGAGAGTGGGTCCTGCAAGGCCACAGGATTTCCTGTGGCTAATTGGAGAATGAGAGCAGCTGGTCTGTCCCTCCAACTTGTTCTCAGCTTCCAGTGGCTTGTTCTTCATGAGATGGAGGGTGATCACACTCTTGTATTACCCTGAGAAAGAACCAGACACAACCAAGAATAGAGGTATCCAGTGCAGACCGCTAAATATCTCACCCTTTCTCAAACTCTTAGCACTCCACTTCAATCCAAGGACACACATGGTTCTTTTTAGCAATTCAAAAGCATTTGTGCCATTGTAGCATATCTGTGATTCTCCATGGGGCTTCCAGATAGCAAAAGGGTTCCAGATAACAAAATGGGAGAGGTTTTCAGCATGGAGGGCAACTCACAGCTTGGGAGGACACCTTGAGGTGATAATCAAGTTCTCTAATGATACCACCTCATGAAGGGAAAGCCAAGGTATTGTCAGAGCCCACAGGCTGCATTGCCCACAGTCCCACAGATTAGAGGAAACCCGGGACACATGTTCCTATGGACACAGTTGTATGGGGGGGACCCACAAGATCAGTGTGTGAGACTGCAGCTGAAACTCCACCTCCCCAGAGAACCCGGCAGCAGGAGTGAAATAACAAAAACAAGGTAACACAGACCTGTGGAGGAACAAGGAAAAATACAGTGAGTGAGGCAGGCGGGCCCTCAGGCAGCATTACCCTGCCCCAGCTCTGCACGCCACCTCCCAGGCACCACCATGGCTGGGCAGATGCTCTCAGCCCCTGGGCTCTGCAGAGGGAAATGGCCATGGGGCTGGAGAGCTGCCCCACGGCTCTGCTGGAGCTCTGGCTGCAGACGGAGGAGCTGGTTCTCACCTTGGACCCCCCAGCCCTGAGGGCAGAGACTTTGGGAGAGGACGCCAGGGGGCTTTCTCAGAGGAAGGGCTTGGCACTGGAGGGGATCATACAGAGCTTTCTGAATTCTCCCTCCCACAGCATTTCTGAATTTGGCTTCTTCTCATTCCCTGTTCATACCCATGCTTCCTGGAGATTGTCACCCTGGAGGTGTTTCCCTGCCCCATGTCTTTTCCCTGTCAGTGCTCACAAACCCCATCCAAAACTCTGTGCACTCTCCAGGGCCCTCCAGAACCCTGCCTGTTTGCAGGGCACTGCCTGGGTGCACGTTCCTCTTTGCAGGTGGAAAAGCAGAAGTCAGAACAATCCTCATGCATTCAGCAGAGGTGATGGTGGTGCTGTCCATAAGTAGAGGAGAGGCTGAAGGCACATACCAAGGTTTTTGGGAGACCTAGTGATCACTCAAAGTTTCAGTTTAGGAGCCTCAGTGACTTGTTAAATCTTGAAATCTCCTTTTGCTCTTAGCCTATTTCCTTGTGTCCCCTCCATTTCACTACAATGACAGACACAGGAAGCTCCTTAACTTTATGGTATGTCTATATATATGCCTTGATCTTCTCCTCCAGACATCCCCTTGGAAATGTCCTGTGGGTGATGTGGAGCTGTGAGCAGCCCTGACCCACACAGCACCCTCTCAACAGCAGAAGGACCCTGCCTTGATCGCGGTCACTCCTTCCACACACACCTTCTCCCCCCACAACCCCTGGGCAGGCTGAGTGCTGACCCTGGCAGGCAGCAGGGTCTCTGCCCCAGCACACAGCCCCCTGGGGTGCAGGGTCCATGTTCAGAAGGACAGCCCTGGGCACCCCTGCCTGCACACCCACCTTCACACCCTGCGGCCCTCCCGGGGAGAAGGCAGCCATCATGCCCTGTCCCTCTGAGGGGGCAGCAGGGAAGCCCTGCTCTGCAGCACATTCTGATCCTCTGCACCAGAGAAACTCTGAGGGTTGTACTTACCTATCATGTAGGCTGTGGGATGTCCCAGCTTTAGGAGATCCCACCAGGATCTGCAGATACAATGCCCTGCAGCCACAGACTTACTCTCTCTCCATGAGCTCTCAGCATCCTCCATCCCCACACTGCCTTTAGCCTCTCTCTGCCTCGCTCCTCTGCCCTCAGTGCCTGCAGGCTGTGCCCTCAGCCCTGCTGCGCTTTGCAGAGGAGTTGCTCCTGGGCAGAGCTATCTCTCGGCAGCGCTGCCCACTTGCTATTCCCAGGAGCCCAGCCCAGCTCAGCAGCAGAGGACCAGCCCAAGGCAGCACTTGCTTTGCTCCCTCGGGGCTCCTTCCAGGTGTTCCTGGGGCTCCAGGGGAACCTGCTGTGAAACAGGCTGAAGTCATCCCTGATGTTCCCTCCCTCAGCTGAGTAGAGACACTTCTTCCTAGCACTGTAATTTCTCCAGTGAAGAATAGATTTGGGCATAAGAATCACCTTTCCTTGTCCCATCATTAGACAGCACAACCAGACAGTTACAAAGAAAGATCTCCTTTACCCTTGCTGAGGGAAGGGTTGCAGATGAGTCAATAAAGGCATCTCAGTTGTGGGTCTGTATTCCCAGAACTAGAAGAGGACAGCAGATGTTTACACTTAGGACAACAAAAATCTTCCCTATTCCTTATGTCCACAACAGCCTACAGAGGTAGTCAGCTGACCAAATGGAGCTGAGTCCCTCTCTTCCTCTTCTCCATCAGCTCTGTTTCCCAGAGATTCATCAACTGTAATCACAGTTGTCTCACGGACACCCCTACAAGGCCTAATCTAATTCCAGGCAGCTTCTCAATGGTCGCAGACAGGCCTGTAGTGCTCCATGAGATGCTGGCACTCCCCAGCACCATTTCATGT